AGGCACATAAGCTTAATACTAATGTAAATAATTTTGAAGCAGAAAGTTCTGATGATATTGACAGTCTTTCTGCTTGTAATGAGGTAGTTGATAATAATGATGCTGCAAATATCATGAAGAGGCTTCAAGTAGTAACTAAAAAATATAGCCATAATGATGATAATGTTGAGCTAGAAGATTATGATAGTGATGACAGCCTTCCTGCTCATAATGAGCTAATTGAGAATGATGATGCCAAAAACATTGTAAAAAAACTTCAAGATGCTGCAAATAAATATTACCGGGAATGTGATTCTAACCAAACCCGTAGACTATGTTATTTAGGAAACTCAGTTCACACTAAAAGAAGAAAAAAACAGCAACAACGTGAGGCAGCGAAAGGAACCCCTACATTACATACTTTCTGGGCCCAAAAAAAATCTTCTGAAGAAACTAGTGAAGCAGAATTGTATGATGATGTTGATGAACGGTTAGAGAATGAAAGACAGTTAGAAGAATTTGATGATGAACAGTTGGCGAATGAAGGATGGTTAGAAGAAGTTGATGAAAATGATATTGGAGGAATGTCGGAGGATGAGATTAAACCCCATAATTGGAATAAAAAAATCTCAACTGCTCTTGAAAACTTAACATTAGATATCAAAAAAGAAAATGTAAAAAGTGAAGTTTGGGTGCATCTTAATAGCATCTGTTTTTATCTCCAGCTTGTAAAAAGCAACTACCAAAAAATAAAAGCAAGTAAAATAATTGCTGATGCTGCAGAAAAAGGGGTATACCATGCTAAATGCATTCGTTTCTGGGCACATGATTATGTTATGACATGCCAGATTCCCTACTCTCGCCAAGGACACCATGCCAAAACATGGAGCTTTCTCTGAGACAAAGATATTCTTCTTCAAATAAAATCGTATGTTCGAGAAAATAAGTGGAATATTACACCACACATGATCATGTTACAAATGAATGAGATCATTTTACCAGGGCTAGAATTTGCTCCTCCTCCAACCATCTCTCTTAGTACCGCAAAAAATTATTTAAAAAAGCTTGGATACACATATGAAAGGGTGAAAAAAGGTGCTTATGTAGACGGACACGAGAGAGAAGATGTGATAGCCTATCGGAGTATATTTTTGAAACGAATGAGTGAATTTGAGCATAGAATGCTTATATTTTCAGGTGATAATATGGAAGTAGAGACTTGGCCAGACAGCAATATAAAACTACTTATTCTTGTTACACATGATGAATGCATTTTTTCGGCTTATGATGGAAGTCAGAGTCTTTGGATTCCTTATGGTGAACAACCTTTACGAAAAAAGGGGGAGGGTCATTCAATTCATGTTAGCGAGTTTTTAACTGATATTTGTGGTCGACTTGTGCTTCCTGATGAAATGCAACCATCAGATAAGTTTCCTAGAGAAGCTTGTGTTATTACATACCCTGGCAAAAATAACGATGGATGGTGG